GTATTTCTCAGTGCTTTGCATAGAGAGTCTTATGTTCATTGCTGTTCATTCCCCTTGATATATCTTTGCAACTCCTTATGCTTGCTACATTGTCAGATGTCTGTGCCATGATTAATCACTTCTTCTTTATGTAGATGCAAGTCCTGCTGGATCAACCACGAATAATGATCCAACAAGACATCCGGAGCTAGAAGCTGGTACAAACATGAGAAATTCAATAACAAGCCCTTTTGTGAAACCAAATCCAGGGATAGCAATGTGGTTGGGCTGTGTGTCTATGAGGTGCATTTTTCTTAGAACTCCTAGAGGCAGAGGAGCCTCAAAGCACATCCCAACCTGTGGAATTGACTCGTGGGCACAGGTTCCTGGGGTCTTTGCTCCCAGTGAGTCAATATTAACTCTGCCACTAAGACAGATTAATTCAGCCCGCTCAGTGTCTTACAGTCACAAGAGCAGAGCTCACCAGGTGTGTCAGCTACCGATGCATCCTGAAGTGTTGAAAATAGGGATGTTCCAGATTTGCTGTCTAATCTTTAGGAAGTGGTTGGCCTGGTGAGTGAGTGTAGGACCTTTGAAGCTCCTTCACCTCATCTGGTGAACTGCTGTCAAGTTCATCCAGTGAGTTGAGCATCTGCTATGCTTACTTGTTTGCAATTGGAGAATTCATTCTTCAAGCTAGAGGGCAGAGTCTCAGAACCACAGTAAATGGCTGTTCTTGCTTCCGTGCAGGTATCAGCACCGAAGGCAACAGCGCAGGGCATTCTAGAAACAATCTGGGTTCCAAAGTGGCCTTATTCGCAGGAATCATATCAGGATGCGTCATCTTCATCGTCATCATCATCACCTTGGTGGTACTGCTGCTCAAGTACCGCAGGAGGCACGGCAAACACTCTCCACAGCACCTCCAAGCGAGGTGGCAACAACTCTGGCTGGGAACCCAGTGATGTTCTCATACCGCTAAGGACTGCAGATAATGTCTTCTGCCCACATTATGAGAAGGTCAGCGGGGACTATGGGGACCCAGTGTACATCGTGCAGGAGATGCCCCCACAGAATCCTGCCAACATTTACTGCAAGGTCTGAGGCCTGGGAACTTTGCCTCCCAAGGGAACTCTCATCTTGTTGTGGGCGCAGGGACTGCCTGAGCCTGGCTCTGGGGG